TTCGGAAAACGGGAATTTCTATTTACTTTTTTTTATTTTTATTTTAATTTTTCCTCACCAGACATCTTTGTTGTAGAAGCGATCTCATATGTCTGGCGTTGGTTGGTTAATTTCAAAATTATTCTCCATAAATACACCAGCAGAAAGCGGGAAAAAGGAAAGAGTTGTGCTTGATCGGTACGGACGAAAAGTAGAAACCAGTAGAAAGGAAAATCAACCAAGGAAATGGGTTTATCACCCAGAAATCGTTCGTGCAAACGGTAATTGGTAGCTTTGAATTCGTTTTGTCAACTAGTTTCCATTTTTTAAATTTCAGCTAAATATCTAATTAAAAATTTGTTATGATACGTCAAATAAATTTATTAAAACCACAAAATATGTTCTTAATTTCAGCTTCATCAGATATAACGACATTTCCAATACGACTTCAAGACGGTGTGCTTCTTAGTGAACTTCCGCCTCCACCACCTCATCCTACAATTCCAGATGAGGTTTGACGATTTTGCATCTAGATTTATAAATTTAAGAATTGTGTTTTCGGTTTCCTCTAATCATAATTTAAAGTGACCCCTTCAGATACGGAAAGCCGTACGTTCAAAAATGGTACGATGCAAAATTTGCAAAAATCGTTTTATTGAAAAGAATTTATATGAACGACATCTGCGTGACCGGCATTACACCGAATATTTGGCATATTTGATACAACAGGAAGAGGAAATTGCTGAACAAAGGTTTTCGAATTTGAGGATCTCTGGTTATGTCAAATATCTGATTAACTGAAAAGGCCTACAGGATAGTTTTTTAAAATTTCAGGCAGGCTGAACTTGAAGCAAATCGGATTGAGGAACTTGCAACGGGAGGTTACATTCCACCGGAGCGTGAGATAGATGCTGAATCTTATGAAGTTGAAGTTGACAAGTAAGATACTTTTTTTCAAATTATACTTCTGAAGCTGACCGGCCAAAAAGACTTAACTATCTTGTCCTTCGTTTCTTCTTTGACACTAAATCTTTTGCTGTCTCTCATCTTCTGTATCTCTCGAATTACAATATTCGATATTTCAGGATTCCATTGCCTGGTGAATTAAGTGGAGGTATTCCAGCACGTTTCGATCGACATGGTTTCTTACGTCAGCCAAAACGTTCCTACAAGAAAAAAGTAGGCGTGCTTGGGCTTAATTATTTTGTTACTAATTTATAGAACTGTTTAAATTTAAGCAACCAAAGTTCAGATTAGTTAGCAAGATTTTTCAGGTTTCTCCACAATGTCCGTTCTGTGACAAACGGTTCAGGAACGAGGTTTCTTTGAAGAAGCATTTTGTCAAAAAGCATCCAGAAACCGTTGATTTTGTTCAATGTTTACGTTGTTTTAAAGCAGTAAAAACGAAAAACGAATTGTCAGCGCATGAATGCGACTTGGTAATTTGCATTTCTGAAGGATAGAGATTTGTGACAAGTTTGTAGGAAGTGCATGAATTTCGTCAATTGCCCTGATGTATTTTATTTTAACCTTCTAATCAAATGTGCAGATTCTCCACATAGGCCGCACTGGTATAGTGTTGAGAAGACTGATAAGGGAATATATAATGAGAAAGGCGAGAAAAGAATGTGGCTTGATATGAGATAAAGAAGTGCTCAGAAATTCATTTCTGATTTATTTGAATAATTAGGAAGGGGACTAAGCAACTGGATGAGTCTTTTACTTTATAACTTTACTTTCAGACATTTATCTGCTTTGAATGCACACCACTGAGGAATCTCTGCACTCAGCAAAGATTGCTCAATCATCGAGCAAAGTTCCATCGCGGTGCGAATTCAGGTTTCAAATGTAATATGTGTGCTTTGAAATTCCTTACACCGCGAAAACTCAGGAAGCACAAGAAAATGGCTCATGTTTTCACGAAAACTTTCCCTTGCCATTTTTGTGACGAGTTATTTACAAGCGAATGTTCGGTCAGTTTCTTTTCTTTTTTACACAATGATTCAGGTTTGAAATTACTACTTCTCAATTTGAAAAAAAAGTTCAAGTTTGGAACTTGAGCCTTTTTTTGTTTTTTTTCTTAACGAATTCAAGTACGGATGTTAAAATGTGCAACCATAAATTTAAAGGTGACAACACACGAACGTATTCACACGGGTATAATCAAATTTGAATGTCGAATCTGTGACTTCAAGTGTAATCGTTTTGTCTGGATGGAAGAACATCAAAAAGAAGAGCACGGCTATATTTGTTCCGTATGCCAGCATAAATGTGCCGAATGGGGTGCTCTTAAAGATCACACATTGCAGGAGCATGGTGGTTATTTGACCAGTGAGTCGAATGCAGGTTTGACATTTGTTTTTTTCATCTTTCAACAATTTTGCATTTTTTTGCGATATAGCTCAAGCGGTAATGACGATGCTAGCAATCGGAAAGAAGGCAAAGAATTCACCATCGGTTTTCTTTTCTGTTTTTATTGTAGCCTCAGTTTGCTTAATGACATTGATGTTCCGACATTTAAACATGTTTTGCGGATATGGACAGGCAAAAGCGCTGTTTTAGTTGTCCTAAGAAAGTTCTCGACAGAAGTAAGCATACTAAACACATAAAAATTTGCGTCATTCAAGATCTACAATAATGTTTCTTGGCTAATCTCTAAAGAGTGCTCGTCTAGAAATCTGGAAAAAAATAAGGGATTGATTTCAGTTCTTTGTAAGATTAAGAAATTGCAGTAAAAGTTTGGTAAATTTAAAGCCGAATTTCAAAAAAGAATCTATTTGTAAAGAAACACATACAGGCATACAAACATACAAACGTACAGAGTAAACTCTTAAAGATTTCCTATCCAGTTGATTGCAGAAAACGAAAAAATTTATCTGAATATGTACTACCCTCACATATCAGTTTATAGTGTGATATATTCTATGAAAGTAAATAAAAGATTGGTATCATGATGTTTGGTTTGTTTATTGGTATGTAATTGGCATATTGGCGCTCCACCTGATATTGCTTTTTCGTATTGTTACCTTTAATTAATTTTCCATTTCTGGACATTAATTAAGCCTTTCAGGTTATATCGATAGCCCACGTGTGTGGGTCATGTATAAGGGCGAATAAAAGCGCTGGGAATTGAAACGCCAGCTCAAAAGTGATAAGCTGGGTCAACTTTCACGTAAGCCACGTTGGCTTAATTTTTTTTTTGCAGATTGCAGTTTCAGACATACTTCCTCATTTGTTATTGTGTTGTTGTTGTTATGTTTATATACATCGTCGATATTTTCTTCAGTTTAACAAATCAGAATTTGGGAACGTCAGTATGTAAGATTAAGGGTTGTATCCTGTCAATTTCAATATGGTTTGGCATTTGTCGCAATCGGGATAAGATGTACTTATCTTTCAGGATTAGATTTGTTTAGATGTTCGGAAGTTTTTTTTTCTCTTTGTTTATATAATCACTTGCACAAAATCCGAGTACCTTACTTTACTGTTGCATCATAAATGAAGTTTTCTTGAATTGGTAACATTCATCACATATGTTTATGCCGTATTTCTTTCCATGAAGGGATGATGTGTTTGTCTAAACCAAAACATCATTTTTTGTATTTGATGGGGTAAGGCATAAAGTTATGCGCACTGACGTGTATTTATCATGTGGACTTCGGGGGAAGTAATGAATATTTGTTGCATTTTATCATTGAGTTCAGAATGTATCTTTTCATTATTTCAAAATGTATTGTAGTTGTCAGTGTCTTTTTGCTGATTATATTGTTATACTATGAAGTCAAAATTGAAAGATCTGATAGTAAAAGCTCGAAAAACCAAATAAATAACTAGATCATATTGCAAGAAAGTGATGTATCTAACAAATTAGAAGTCAGTATAGCGATAGGAGAGGGAAATTCTTTTTAGGTAGAAATAATCGCAGATCAAAAAAAGGTAAGTTGCTTTAGGAAATGGTATATAATTCGGATTCAGCAGAATTGTAATCTTGATAAAATTTGAGAGGTGGCGTACGGTTCTGTTTGAGGGGATGATAGATAAATGCTTGGAAAATTTACTGCATTCTGTGGGATGTTATAATGTGGCAACAGTCGTTAAGTTTGTATATATATTTTGGAATAGTGCTGTGTGCGAAAAGTGGTAACCTTTGCCGAGGATTCATGAGAAATGATAGTAATATTGTTCAGCTTGGGAGTTGGATTCGTGAGAAATGGTAGTAATATTGTTGAGCTTGGGAGCTATATATCAATGTCCATCAGTTTGGGTAAATGAAATCGATTAATTGTTATTGAATTTAATGGTGAGATAAGAGAAATGATACATTGTTTTGACATGGAAAAGAATGGAAAGAAAGTAATTTCTTATTATTTTGCTTTTACAGTGCTAAATTAGAATGGTATGTGTAACAGTGGTGCTATAGAAGAACATCACTAGGGAGCAGTAACTATTTCAAACCTCCTTGTTTCAAAATGGTGAAATTGAACGAATTGGAATTTCGATAGTATAAATTGAGAGGGATATAACTAACTGGGAAGAAATGATTGCTTCAGTTGAAAAATATTTTATTAATTCACCTATATCAATTGACTGAATAGTAATCATTACCAGTACGGAGGTGTCTTTTTCCATCTCCTGATATAATTTTCCCAATACAAATGATAAATTTGGTTTAATAGTTTAAAGTACAAGAGTCGAAATGTGCTTGTACATTTACAAGAATCGAAATGTACAAGCACATTGGATCATATGTTCGAGCTTAGATATATCAGAAGACTTATATGCTTTATCCAAACTGGGTGTTTTCAATAATCGATATAATAATAGTGAGTAGTACCGCATACATTCAGTCGAATAGTGTAGGATGCAATAAGACCTCCTGATATCACAAGGCAAGAAGTTAGTGTGACCCTTCCAATGATCAGACCTGCAATCTTTTAATTGGAAACCAATGCCTTATCTATTATGCTATGAGGTCCAATATCAATTACGATTGTCAACTATGATTAAAATTAAAAATCTTCATTAATTTCTTTATTATGAATTTTAATAGAACTGTCACAATCGTTAAATTGAATCCAACAGAGAAAAGTGATATATTAGAAGTATGAAGAGAGTTAGGAAACTTCCAGATGACAAGAAATTAATAATCCATAATTCTCCAGTCTAGTTATAAATATAAACAAGCATTGTTTTTGTTATTAGTATGAATCGATTGAATAAATAATAGCATTAAATATCAATTTGTTCGAACAAATAAAATAGTAATTGTAGATGATTTCTTAAAAATGATTGTTGTGATTTTAACTACGGATAGTATTATAATTTCATTTCGAATTTTTTTTAACTTGATTTATGCATTTTGAAATTTTATTTTCGTTCTTTATGTTAAATAAGATAAGAAGAGAAATGGTGGAGAAATTTTGTGATGGATAATAATTAAAACGGAAGAAAAATCCTAAATTAAGAAATCTCATTCAATTTTGTTTTCAAGATTGATTTCATCAATTTCAATTACTATTTCACAATATAAGCTGTGATTGCAAATCGTAACAATACCAATCAGTTAGTATGCTTCAATTAATAATCTGGCAAATTCGTTGTGCGGAAAATGAAAATATATGATTGTTTTCTGCATATTTAATTTTCATTTCTGATGTATTTTTTAGTTGTAGAAATTTAAAATCTGAACTAATGTTACTTTAGTCAAATGATGTACAATTCGATATCATTAATAATATCATCTGCAAAATATCCATTAACGTTATCCTAATTTTAACATTCATTTTCTTATCTCACCTGTTAATGATATATTCATACTGTATGTTAATGCATATATGTCAATCGTAGCAGCTTTTGAGAAACATAATTTCCCACCCTTCAGCAGCTTTAACTTAAAATTTATACAAGAAAATCCATTCCTTTCTTATTCCTTTTTATTCTTATTCTGTCAATCAATAATTTACATACTTTTCACGACAGTTTTGATCTATCCCGTTATGATCATAATTTATATTTCCCTTTCTATATATCTATATATCTTATATATTGGAAGTTAAATAAACGGGAATTTATTAATTTTATGAATAAAAAATCGGACAAAGCTCTTAATGCAGTCATAGCATGAAGGCTAATTTACCTTGTGTATCCATCTTCCATTGCATCACATTACAGTGAAATAAATTATTTAACGGCGAAATATGAGGTTGTCAAAGTAAGGTGCTACGGGTATTTCGCAGAAATTAAATTCTTTATTGAATTAAAACAATTCGTAAAACGATAGAGCAAATGCAACCCATCAATATGATCAACAACATGGAAGTGCTTTCGATAGCGTCTTACAACTGCCCACAGTCCGAAATCACTATATCAGCCGATGTTCGTCCATTCTGAGATCCTTTACTTTCGATTGCCTTCACAACATTCATACCTTCTACTACACGCCCAAATACCACATGCTTTCCATCCAACCTATAAATATACACGTAAGTTACTTTGAGTTGAAATCTAAAAACTTTGCCTTACATCTGATATAACTTCATGAGCTTTTCGAAGTACGAACTTACTTTCCTAAATTACCCCATCCACTTGAATGATTTACGTAAATTTAAATGGATAGATCTTTATCAAAACTTAAAATGACTCTAAATCCAAATTAGCAAGAAAAGACAGCTATCATTGAAGATAATTTTCTCATAGTGCCTAAAACAACAAATGAAATTTCCTCATTTGCTTTAAAATGTCTGATAAAATAAAAAGATTCTGTCTAAAAAATCACGGAGAATAAAAAGTATTTAACACGAGAAAAAAACTTCTTTCCTGCTAAAATGATATGTTAATTGCCAAAAACGTATGTCTGAATAAGCCATAAGACTAATCAGCCATCGATTTTCTGATCTCATTATATTATTACTTTAAAAAAATTGAAAATAAGACTTACCACTCTGTTTTTGCGGTACAAATGAAAAATTGTGAGCCGTTAGTATTTGGTCCCGCATTAGCCATTGACAAAATACCAGGACCTGTATGCTTTTCCTGAAATTAACAACAATTTCATCTAAGCCTTTCTCAAGCACTTCATGTAAGTTACAGTGATGCTTCGTAATTTTGGATTTCAAATAACTGTCCATTAAATCTTCCAGCTTTAATCAACAGCCTACATGAAAGTGTTACTTTATGGTTATCGATTCAAGCATTCAGTGGTAAGACAATACTTGACTAGTAGTTATAGTTCTTGAAATATCACTGGTGGAAACAAACGATGAAAAACAAATACCTGGAAGTTCTCGTCAGGAAATTTTTCCCCATAAATTGATTCACCACCTGTACCATTTCCGCGTGTAAAATCACCACCCTAAAGAAAAAAATAAATTTCTATTTTGGGAATGTAATAAAAAACTTAGAATCTACAAACACTAATGCTCTTTTATTTTTGCTCTAAAATACAATTTCCATGGCAAATCAAAATTTTTGCGAACAAAAATTCATTCACGAAAAAACGTTTCAACAATTTCGAAATGACATCCGAGTGATATTTTTCGAGCTTTGATTTCCAACCCCCGACAAAATTTAATCAATTACAACAAACCTGTAACATGAAATTGGGTATGACGCGATGAAACTTTGATCCTTTATAATGTAATTTTTTGCCGCTTTTTCGTCCCACATTTCTTTCTCCGGTACAAAGACAACGGAAATTTTCAGCTGTTTTTGGTACAATATCGGCGAAAAGCTGAGGAAAAAAATATAATACTATATCATGCATAGATATAAAACATAAAAAGAAAAAAAAATAGTACTTTGTATCCAAATGGGAAAAGATTACCTTAAACACATTCGTGGTAAACAGGAAAAATTATCTTAAACGCATTGTGGTAAACAGGAAAAACTATACCGTTAATATAGAACGTTTTTCAAAAGCTTCTGGAGTTTGTTATCGGAAATTACAATCACATTAAGTAATCAAAAAGCATAAGATTTATATAGTTGATGATCTTTATCTAGTCATGTCAAGTTTGTCGATAACTACACTATCGCATTGCATATTCAGAAAAAGTCCCAAGTGCAAGAAATATTAGGGAATCTAAGCATCAATTTTTGCAATATTTACCTCCATCACAATTCGTCCTGCATTGCTTCCATCAATAGTAATATCGAAGAATACTTTGGGTCGTGACATTATGCTAAAATTCCCGAACTCTTTTCTTTGCTGTAAAAAAAGAAAAGAATCAAAACAATGAACTAAATTTAGCGTATTGACATGAAGAATAGTACCTTTCATTACCAACAAACATTCTAGATGATACATAGATTTAAAACAAAATCAATGAAATATATAACTCCGATTGAGCACGAAGAGAATATATCACGCGTGATGAAATCGATAACACATCCAACTAATGTTCCTACTAAACCATCTCTCTCTCTCTCTCTTTCTCTCTCCCTTTCTCTATGTTCCAATTATTCAATATCTCTGAGGCTAAATTCCATCCATTCATTGAATGCTGGGAATGTTTAAGATTGGATCGAATTTTATTGATAACTAATAATATTTAGTGGATTAAAAATTATTTCTATAGAACTTAAACTGTAGAGAAGTTAGTACTGATTCGAAATGTATCATTCGATCGACCGAATCGAATGATGACTATGCGACATACAATCGTTGTAATTCAGTCGATAAAGCAAACTGACAGTATTAGAGACTGTTAGATGACAAGTCATTCAGTTGCATGCTATGGTTAGTAGTGATAGCAGTGAGACAGACAGGCACTCTCAGACTTTTTTTGGGTAAAGAATGCAGAATTTGGTGGGGAAATTCGAAAGGACTTTCCCATAACCGTTGACCGAAGAGCAAAAAAAAAAAGTGGTGATACGAAAGAGCATCGCAATAGCTCCAAAAGAAACGATCGATAAGACGCTGCCTTAATGATTTATTCTTGTAATGAAAAATCTATTCCTAATTTTCTTAACACTGCAAGTTACTAACTGAAGAAACAAAAATACGAAAGGATAAAGTAATGAAATATTGAGGAACAACAAATATGACGTAATACAAGCTTTCTTTTATGTAGATGATGAATTCCATTTAATTCAGTCCAAATTACACAACTGATCTAAATTAGAATAATTTCATATTTACCATATATAAATGCTCTGTGGTTCATCAATCGATACCTTGAAAACATTTTGAACTTTTAATATTATGAAGTTTACTATTTCTTATACATCTAAAACAGCGGGATGTAAAATATATTCTACTCATTATAGATTGTAAGCACCAAAAGTTAGAAATAAAAGCTTGCCTGAATCCAACAAAGTGTTAGCGATATATGAAATGGAACAAAAAAATTCAACCGTTAAACCATTTTTTTCTTCGTTTAAACATCTTAAAAACCAGGTTTTTCAAAATTATAGGAGTACTGGGAAATCTATTCTAATTTAGGAATCGCAGGATTTTAGTAGTCCAGAAAACAAATACTGCGAATTTCTAAGTATTAAGAAAGCAACTTCACAAATCTTCCACTTACGCAAACATTAGTTTTGCTATTCACAGAACAGTTCAAACGATTCCTGACCTATAATGATAATCTCTGAATAAGATACATGAATACAGTCAGTCGATGTGGCTATATTTTAGTAACGCGTGCATGTGGGATGAATAACAAAAAATATGGATGAGCAAAATACTATTTTTAGAACTGATAGGAGATAAACATTGATAGATTTATTCAAATTTTCAGGGACGTAAAATTTATATGTGAATACAATTCGTTGCCCCTACCTAAATTAGGAATGTGATTAGTACAGGAAGGGACAAAATTTAAGAGAAAAAAGATGATATACAGTAAAGAGAAAAGAAAACAACAGAAATAGTCCATTACAAAACAAGAATCCAAACATGTTCAAATTTTATTTCCGTATCTTTATTCGACTGTACCGGCTTTCACTCCATTACAAAACAAGAATCCAAACATGTTCAAATTTTATTTCTGTATCTTTACTGGACTGTGCCGGCTTTCACTTCCATTTCATTTTCAATATACCAAATGATGGATAGTAATCCCACCCGTCATTTGGTGCATTTTTTGATCGTAGTAATTGTCTTTGGTGTGCTTAGACGTCTGAAGAATGCTTCTCTTTCCGCCTCAGTTCGTCGACGTGGAGCTGGAAGAATATCACTTCCACCGTGTTTCGAGTGCCCTGTTTTTGTAGGCCTTGTGAAATGAGTACCAGATATGGTAGGTGTAGTAGACTGCACTTTCTGAAAAGCGTAAAAAATTCCCGAAATACAAATGCATTAATTTGTAATCCTTAGAGTTGAAAATCGTTCCTCAAAGTTGAAAATCGATAATTATAAAACATATTTAAAGGACCACTGAAATCAGATTTTACAACATTTCTTTTGACGGATAATCACAACATTTCTTTTGACGGATAATCCAATATTTAATAAACAACAAACCAAAATACCTATACCGGCTGCATGCAATATTAGAGCAGCTCACATGGATTGTTTAAATCTAGCAGGTAAGTACCTGGGATGAAGAATCAAGATCTCAAGAAAAAAATTTACAACAGCAAATCCTGGTTGCACTAAATGTTTATCAGTCTCATTTTCTTACCTTACCCACTAATTCATTGAAAGCAGCTAATTACGCTTGCTTTTTAATCCTTAACACCAAGAACAACATTTGCCCTTTTTCATGAAAGTCTTTCTATCTCTCTTTTATCTTCTTCATCCATCATTTTAACAGTACATATGAACCCAATGGTTCAACATTTATCACTGATGAAAAGCATAAAACTCAAAAAAAAACTTATACTCAAGATGAGAAAACAATAAATTTCTAGTGTCTCACCATAAAAAAGAATTAAAATAAGTTCAAATCTCATCTCCTGGTCATTTTACTAAATTGTATCAAGCTTTTTCGAGAAATAACCCTTACTTTTGCTGCAACACGACTTCGCAAACAGGGTGCAAATTCAAGAATGGACTCTGGTTTTTTCGCAACAACTGTCCAAATTTCATCTAAAATTTACCACTCGTCATAAAATGTGGGAAGCGAAGGATTTTGCCGAATAACAACAAATATAAACTTCGCCAAGTTCAAATATTATCCTGTTTACATAAATATCCGGGCGAAAAATACGGATAAGTACAGGGAATCTTTAAAGGAAGCCTCACCATTTTCTTTACCTTCTGCTTTAGTTACATCTCGGTCCAGCGAATCACCCCCTTTTGGACGTCGAGTCAGTGACTGCCGAAAACGACTTTCACTTTCGACAGGTGGAAGACTATCGCCATTTTTGACTATTCCTAAAAGTGGGTAAAATGACAAACTTGTACAAATAAATTATAGGTGCAGCTAATATAAGATGAAAAATTAAATGTATATTATTTGCTTTAAAATATATATTGAATGTATATTTTAAAGCAAATAATTGCAACCGTAATGATTACAATTTATAATGCCTATGCTTAAATTTATATCATGCAATGGCTCATTTTCAAACAAAGCATGTTTCCAAGTTTCAAAAAGTTCATAAATTCTTGTGACGTATGTGTTCCACGGCTGATTGAACACAGGAAAAAGATAACACCTGGAGTATTTCGGACGCGAATAGGTTCATGAGCTACACGAGTACGCGGACGTGACACGTGACCGATTTCAACTTTCTAAATATGTGGCAATATAAATACAAAAAATGAGTTTTGAAAAGTCTGATCAGATGAATACATATTCCTTAAATCTTCTATTTTTTTTAAGGGTATGTTATACTTTCATATTATGAACTGACAAGTTGTACTAATTTATTCGAATTCTTTTTCTTAAATCTAGTGGAATCGCTCTATCTGCTTGCATATTCCCAAAAAGTAATTTTCTTATTATTGATAACCTCCACTTAAGGGTTGTTGCAATGACTTAAGAATTAAGATATGACGATATGACTATAAAAGAGTCACTTCTTTTTAATAAAAAGAAAAAATTCCATTCCTTTTTCCGCCAAATATATTCACTTAAAAATTCTATGCACTGTTAAGCAATTTCTCAATCCTTACCCTACAAGTGAAAGCATATTACCGTTCATTAAATAATCAAATGGTATTAACATACAACAGATTCATACAATAAAAGAAACTTCTACTGCCAACCTTAGTGTTACACACTGCAATACTATTCGCAACAGCATTTCTTGTAATATTTGAATTCATTTGTGACAATGGACGAGAGTGAACTGATTTTGTGTGCACCGACTGTTTTGGTGTACTTACAGCTGGATTGATTCTCATCACTGCCGAGTTTTCATTGCTAAAATAATTGAGCTTCTTATAGTACTTTTTCAAACATATACCCTTTTATTTTATTTATTTGACTTACCGCTGAAGATTTCATAAGTTTCGTAGTTATATTTATCAATGCAAAGCATATGCATCTTCATGGGAAAATTTGACTGAACAGAGCAACGATGTTAATCAACAGAAGCAAATCAGGATTTTTGAAATTATTAACAGAAATACCTTTCCTTCATTCTAGCTCGTGCTCTGGTTTCAGGTCCCGCATATAGTGATTTTCTCGTTGCTTCTGGTTTAGAGGCCATCTTTCCTGAACTTACAACGGTTCTGCTAGTTAAATTCGCTCTATTCTGACGAAAACCCATCGTTACTTTCTTTATCCCTACAGCATTTTCAGCTTCTGCCCCAATATTATTGGTTGCAGTAGCATTAGTACTTGCAGAACGAACACGTAAAGGCCCACGGGATTGAGTTCTAACAGCCGTTTCCGTTGTTCTCCTAATCGATGAACTATTTGTACGCATGAAGCCCATTGCGGGTTTTTGTATTCTGGGTTCAGCACTTATTGCTCGAACTTTGATTATCGGTTGATATATCACTGATCCCATCCTTTGTTTCATTTCAACGGGCTGTACATGGCTAACTTGAGTAGGAAACGATGGACGAGAAACGTTGCAACGTAATGTTTTCGTTAACTGATTTGAACCACTGGAAGGAATTTTTGAAGTGTGATTTACTGTTTCCTTATCCACATAACTATTTAGGCCAAAATTTTCATGGCAACTCAATTCCACAGTGCATATCGGCAAATGTACTGTATTTTCTGCAAAAATTTTGAAATATTTGACAGAATTATTCAATTTTTGTTCACCATTAGAATATTTGCCTAGAGCTTAAAAATGAAAAATTATGAACAGAAAATGCTATGGCACATTCCTTAAAGAGATTCCATAGATATTATGTACAAAATAACCTAAATATCTAAAATATACCTTCCCGTAGAACTGTATTCGACCGACACCCGGACAAACGTGTACGTGATGATGGACGAAACATTGCCAGACGATTAAGTTCAAATGGTGCATCGCCTAAAATTAAATTTAATATTGCTTTTCAAAATAAAGAATAATTTACATCACTTTTAAGGCTATTTATTTGTATAAATGAAAATTTGCTGGTTGACCGCAAATTTTCAAATATTCGTATCTTTCTATTATTCACAGATGACATTACCGTGAATATTTTCTGCTGATCCGTCAATTGTACCTACTGTTGTAACTTTAGTAGTATCTGTTATTGTAGCTGTAGCAGTAACTGCAACTGTAGGTATTTGCTCCAAATGCTGTTGAATATTGGATGGTACGGGCTTACACCTATCACGCAACGACATACAATTACCCAAATCTGCCTTTGCTACGGAATTTGCTTGCAAAGGCAACAAATCCTGAAAAGAAAAGAAAATGATAATGATGTAAGAAATGGAAACAATTTATAGGATGTAGCATGGGATTTCTTTTTTAAATCCGTGTTTTTCACCTAAAAATGACTATTCCTTATTCCGTTTGCGAGCTAAATCTTTTTCGTCAATATGACGACGAAACCGCGGCGTTTTCTACACAGAGAAAATAAAATCATCTAAACATATACCGTTTTAAAACTTTATTTGATGATATTTGACATGGAATCACAGAATGCTCTTTCATTAATGATAAATCAGAGTCCAGAATACCGAGGATTCTGATTTAAATCACCATTTAGCGGTCATTCAAATATTACATCCGCCATGCAACCCACAATTCAAAATTTAGAATAATCAAGCATAGCATTAACTGACTAATGACCCACTAAATTTCCTTTCCACTAAGTTTCTACCTCATAAAGCGCTTATTTAGACAGCAGAACATATAAATTGAAAAGAACAAATTTGTATCAAAATTTAAACATTATAACAGATAACTCTCTTAAATTTTATCGAATTTTTGGAATTAAAACTAATTCCTTTAAAAAATGAATTTTCCATTTGGAAGAAAAATAACTACAATAACATACAAAGAATCGGTCGCCCAACGTACTCTCATCATCGCCATCACCGTTACCAGTCTGTGCTCCAAATTTAGCATGACGAGGCACTGTCGCAATGTTGAAACTATCATCACACATTGCCAACTGAATAATGTATCAGTTTATATTCGAAATCAAACTGATAATCGAATAATTTGTCATCTCATATTTGAAATCAAATTAAATCAATATTTGAATATGTATAAATTGAAAGTGATACGTGCCAATAAATACGGGATCAGGGAAAATTTTAAATTTGATATTTCGCGGCATTTTTTCGATTTGGTGGCATTTTGCAGCTCTATTGTCTTGACCTGAACTTTGAGGGGATTATATAAATTTTGAATTTTTTTTCGAAATGCTTTAGTCCTATTAGTGTCGAATGTTGGGGAAGAGGAAGACCTATTACTATGGTTCATTTTCTACTTTTTCAATCTCTATATTTATTTTCTACTTTTTTTTCAATCTGTGGATGGCATAAAGTTATCCAAAATCAACAAATTGTTAAATAGAGAGATTGAAATTGGATGTTTGATCTAGGAATTTCAAATGCTTTCAAATCCCAAATGCCAAAATTTCAGTGGTAGATGCAAAAATAGAGCAGCCAAATTTAATTAAATTCTGAAACCGATAATTAGGAATATCTTCAGAATTTGATCACATTGAAAATTAATGTCAATATTTCCAAAATTGATTAGCGACCAAGAATTGGTATTTTTGGAACTGCGGTAGTAACGTATAGTGAGGTACCGTACAAAAACGATTGAGTGCCAACTTGAATAAACTAAATCAACGATCTAATAAGCCCTGATTATAATCCAAGAACGAATTCGGTGATTTCAACCATCATCAACTACTCATTCACTAGCACGCAGTATGTTTTTTCGATTTTCTGATTGCTCGTAAAATATCACAATTTCATCGAGAAAAACCTTATCTTAGTCATCTCATTACCCTTCTAATGAAATATCTCGGTAATACTTTGAATTTCTTCGTCGAAAGAACAGTAATCTAGGAAAAAACTCAAGTCATCCAATGTGAAATACATTGATGACTGCTCGTACGATTAACGAAGAAGAAAAATGAAGACGGCAGTAACATTGTTGATGGTAAGGTTCTTGCTCCCTCCTTCTCTCTTTCATTTTTCTCTTTCTTCCCTCTTCTTCATCTTTCTCATTTTGCTTGTAGGAGATCATGACCAGCATTATATGTTTCCGGGTCTGAGGGTGATGCAAAACCTGAAAATTTTTGGAAAATAAAATATCATCCGAAAAGTTCCTCGTGCAATCATATCCGCATTTTTTAATTCTTTGCAAGGTTAAAGATTAAAGGCAGTGGACAGATAATAAAATGAGTCCATGAGAATTGCGCATTAACACTCATAATTTTACGGTGATTGTATAAATGTTTGTAAATATAATTGATCATTAATAGCGTTGATAACTGATGCTGTCAGCGTATTATTTAATAATAATTTATAAATATATTCTTATCTCTTATTAATATAGCTATCAGTCATTTATGATTCATTATGTTAATTGTTTGACGATAATATTCGGTATTTTACGTGCAACTTTTCCTATAATTTTTCACCAGTTAATTTGCTAGCTATTTTATCATTTACCTGACATATGTTATCTGACATATGCATTATATCTCTGTCGCTTGCTATTGCATTTATTATATATCATATTGATTTGCTGTTAGTTTTTTTTTTTTGGCAAATTATCATTTGCTGACTTATTATAACACTCCAAACTTTACGTTTTCGAAATTAACGATTCCATTCTGTTGAAATTCGAAATTTCGTTATTGCTTTTTCATCTGCAGGTACGGTAATTAATATTTTAAATGTGCTTAATTTCCTGCAGTTCACGTTCGTCTTTTCTATACATGCATTTTTAGGAATTTTACTGAATCATTTATAAATATATAAAATAATCACAAACTTTTCGTTAACACAGTGATCAAAGGGTAGTTATCCTGCTCCTCTTTTTATTGGATTATCATTCATGTCAACTACTGTTCGGTTATTTTTCAATACATTCATATCCTGGAAGATACTTCTCATTCCCCGTACAGTTGGATCAATTAAAAAAATTGATAGATCTGTTCAAGGAAAAATGAGCAACTCGTATGGATTAGTTTGAAAAGTATTTGCTAAATAATTCAAGCTATTATCGTTGGTAGTAGCACGAACTACAAATGCTAATTCAGGATTTGCTTAACAAATGAAATCATTATGAGAGATTTGCTATCGAGTAGGATAGGTTCATATTTGCATTTTTCCTATTGTAACTGCTTAACAGTATATTTAGAAGTTAATCAGTTAGTTATATACTCGTTTCAGTCTGTCTCAGACTACTTTTACTGTCATACTTTATTGTTTAAAATAGATTTATTTATCATGACTTTCACAGGAATGGTGATGATTACGTGATACCAAATCTGAATTTGTAGATTTAATTTAACTCATAATTTGGTTTCGGCAATCGTCATTTTTTTGTCATTTTCGCTTTTCTAGCAAAATTTATCTTTAGTTCTTTTTATCAGTATTCTTTCTTCTTGATTTCATTTTCCTGAAGTATTTCCATCACCTCCTATTTCATTGTCCAAAAATCATGCCCAGAAATCAAATAAAAAAAACCATTATTTTAGAATCATTCGCATAGTTCTTCTTCCATTTCCACAACTATGTCACTGGTTATTTTAATCGGAAATATTATCTGATTTCAGAAAAATGCCGAAAGGGTTAAACGATGATCTGGAAGAAGGCGAAATATGTGACGATGATGAGGAATTTAATATTAATAAATCTAATGTTACCGAATATTCGGATGTAGCAATCAATAAAAGAATGAATTTGACGACAAAGTGCTTCCAGTCCTTACATCATGCCAATAGTGAATCACTGCATTCAGACAGTTTGGAAATTCCTAATCAATTAGCTATATTTCCTGAAATAAATGACGATAATCTAGAAAATAAATCGGAAGACTTCCATAATTATGAAATGGATGAAGAAGATGATAAGAAATGTTTTCTGGATCAGAGGGTGATCGATGATGATCAGTTGGATGACGAATTAAAGGTTTCAAATTTTCAAGGTAATAGATTTCTTTCACTTTTTTGATGTTATTTAGATATCAAATATGAAATTTGATTGAATATTTGGAATTTAAACAAATGCATGCAACAGTATATCTAAGTATCAAACTGATTTTCAATGATTATAATTAATTTGAACTGGAACTTTAACATTTGAATTTATCTTAATTTATTGAATAATATCATAGCCTTACTCTTCCTTTAGTGCAATGGAGGTGTTATCTAAAAATGTGCTAGAAATTTGCTTGAACTATTTTTGCAAATGCAAAAAGTAAAAAGACACAGCAATTTTTATTCCTGTTTACTCTTTATGTCTTATTTACCTCTCCTCATTTTGCTATGGTACGAGTAAGAATCGCTTGGTGCCTAAATTATTAATGCTACTGCATGTATCATTCAAAGCAGTCAAATTTCTTAACCAGTGTTTTCCTCTTTCAGATTGCCATATTATATTGTTTCAGCAAAGATTTACGTACTACGATATTACTTGATGACTTTATGGACATTTATGAATTTTAGATGAATTGGTGGAGTATCAATCCAATGTAGACGACGAATCAGATGATGATGATAATGATAATAGTGGATTTTCCGACGAAATTGTGTGCAGTGATGGAATTATTACAGCAAATGAATTTCACCAAAAGATGACAGCATTAACTATGGGTACAGAACACATAACAAATAAAAGTACAATGGTACATAAAGACGAAATGCAAGAAGATTTAGTGGAAGAGGTACCAGTTGACGATAGCTGGATTTTCCAATCATTAGGTTTGTTTTTATTTTACAGAAAAAATAACTTGAAAAATTTTATGTTCATTTCAACTATCAACTCACTTATTTGCAGCACATTAGCATAGATATGCTTATCGTTATTCACCTAGAACTTAAAGTAATTTTCTGATGATAATTCAAGATAGTTTTTTACATACTATCATTTATCACTTGAAATTGTCTACAAAATCGGCAATTCTCTTTACGCATGACTGTTTAAAAATATAGTAAGGAATTTCACGATTTAGATGAACCGTCAAGGATAGTTATGCAGGGTAATGAGGCCATGGACTTATGTATGCCATCAGAATCGGAGGGGAATTTAAAAGAGCAACTAGCAGGAATGGATCTTTCCAAATTCGAAGTTATGATTGATGTAACAGTATCTGGATGTCTAAATTGTAGGTTTTCTCGAAGATGTCATCATTTAAATCAGTTCATTCGTTTGCTGGTTTATTTACTGTTGGATTTAGTGTTTCATTTTTTTCCCCTTTCTCTTTTTCCCTCTTTGTTTCACCCACGTATGTATTAAAATTTTTTTTTAGCATTTCGTTTTATTTTATACAATTACAGGTGGTGAGACCGAAGCAAGGAATGTTGTCAGGGATGAAAACCAGATGTTCCATGAGGGATCAAATAGTCAGACAAAACAGATCACTGAATTAGAAAAAAAATTTGCCGAAGAGAAGGAAATTTATGTGCGCAATATGTATTCTCTGCTGGTAACAGCGCGTGCACAAATTGCAACTCTCAAAAAGGAAAATAAGAAGCTTGAAATGAAGTAATTTTATCAATATGATTAAAAAGGAAATAGCTGATATTAAGAAAGTTTCCGAAGTGGACATTTTTTTCTGGTTTTGGAAATAATGGTTTTTAGTTGACGAGTTAGATTTCATACTTGACATATGATCTACTAGTCTCTCGGTGCCATTATTTTTCATGATTTAATTGCTAGTTTGAATTGCTATGGTACTTATTTTAGAAACACTTATGTTTTTTAAAAATCATGAGTATCTATTGTCATTTCTAATAATTTCAATTTTTTTCTTCTAAACTAATTCGCATCATGTTGGCGTCAGTGTGTTTTAAACATCGCTTCAGTGTGTTTTAAACATCCCGGCTTTTATTAGTTGTGCTTTGGCTTGCCCACTTCTTTAAAAGCATATCGGAAGCACTGGAAAATATCTTTCCACTCACATCTATCTCGCTAAAGTATGCCAAATTTATTTGAATGGAAAGGTATTATACCGATAAGCTATGATACTATTACAAAAAATAAAGATTAAATTCTTATTTTTTCAGGAATTATTCTTGTCAAAACATAATGATAGCAATGCTAGAGTTATGATAGTGTGCTTCATATTGGCCCTATCCCACACTTTTCTACATAATGTATCAAATGCAGTAATCAGTTATTTTTAAAAGTGTTGGTTAAAATGATTTTCAGATTGCAAGGAAACTGCATAATGAACTGTCCGAAGTGCAAACATCAGATATGCTTAAGAAATAATTCACTGAAACCAAAATATATCAAAGTATTGAAAGGACGTTATGCAATCGAAATGTTATTCGATAATTTGGAAAAAATGGAAGAATGGCTTGCAGCGAATTATCTAGACATTAATCCGGATGGATTACCGGTAGTATTGGAGTTACCACAGAAGCCAACACTTACTTCAACAAACAGCCTTCTTGCCCCCAAAACAGTATGTTGCATATTAAAAACATTTGGCTGTTATAGATAATGTTTTAGTAAGTACATAGTATTGTTGCGCCAACAATTAATAAAGAGATTATGACTTTTTTTGCTTCGGATGGATCCGAAATATTGGCAGTGTTAGGACCTGAAGTGAAGCCATTCAGATTAGTAACAAAATAATGGAAATAAGGATAAAAATGAACATTTATTCAATTCTCTGGAGGTAATGATTTTGTTGTTTTTCTATTAAATTTAAATAGATGGTGATACTGCAGAACTTAATTCATGATATTCAGCGAAACTCGGATAAAATCACTCTAACCCATCTACAACAAGAGAGACGAAACAGGCAACCAGCAGAAGTTGCCAACAATTTCAATGGTGAGTTATCGTTCACAAGTGATTTTTTCGGAATCCAGTTTCAGAATCTTTGAATTTAAAGGATTAACGCGGATTGTACTTTTTTTCATTATAAAAAAAATCTTGAAATACTAGCAGGCTTTTTAATGAACGAATAGATTTCATTTCAGAATATTCTATGAAGCGATATAAGAAATTAAATCATGTGACTCGAGGTAAAGAGACGCAAGAGACTTCCAATGCGAGCATTGTTTCGAGTTTTTGTGCTAAATCAGAAAAGAGATCACATGATAGAAAACGATCAGAATCGCATAAATGCAAAGAGCAACAGTGTCATCGTGTCTTGACGACACATATATCACCAGATAAATTATCTGATCATGATCAGCGATCACATTTCAGCTCTTCTAGATCAAGCAGTTCCCACAAGTCACGTCGGAACACGAAATTAAACCCTACTAAATGCATGATGTCGATGTCAAATCGTAAAGTGACAGATCAGGAAGATCAGCATATAGTAATAGACGGTTTTAGAAATCGATTCGAATACCGAAGTCCTTCTGCAGAGTGTCGTAGAAGACCAGTCAGATCACCAGTACGTAACAGACGGACTGAAGAAAGTTCTCATCAAAATTATCAGAATCGTTCAATGCCGGATCGAATAAAAAGAAACCTCGAATAAAAATATGCTGGATTAATTTCAAACCTGAATCGGTGAATTGTTGCGTAGTACTTTATCAAGTAGGAAGAATGGTATTATATATCTAATAACTCTCTCATGATACATCACATTTTAATCCCACATTTTAATGTGTTATCTCACTCCTACATTTCACTTTTATCTGCTGGTTTTTTTTCTGTTCGAGTGATTCATTTATAAAATTTTACTATTTTTTAATTTCGCAGTATTCCTTGTTTATTTACTTTACCTTCATTTCTTTGCTTTCCTCACTTATTATCTACTGTTATTTTTTTTACTTTCGTTTGTTCATTGTAGAAAGAATTTGTTATGTATTGTATTGCTTTACGGAGAACTGTAATCTTTCTTAAAATATTAAAGGGCCAAACTTGAATAATAAATTCTTAGTCACAAATTTTTTTTTTCAATCCTTTTATGCTTACGAGGACTTAAAACTATTTTACGTGGATTACGGAAATTCAAATATCCTCATCCACTATTAAATTTTTCTTCGTTATACTTTCCTTTCTTCCTTAAAATTCAAAATTATTTTTCTGAGCCACATTTTCAGTTACCTTCCCTTATCATTTGGCATCTTTATGCATTCTATGCACATGAGATGTGATATATACAGTTAGTGACTGTAATGTTTGAATTTTTTGGATTATTTAGTAGTAAATTTTCTGGTTGATATTTTCATTCACTGCAGAATAAATTTATGACCACTCAAATCTTTCCGGTCCTAGAAACTTGTTGAGACGGATCTGTCCTAGGATATGAATTTTTGGAGAGATGGGCATATTAAGCAACTGTTGTTCTCAAATGTATAACAGAGGTGTCGAAAGGGCAACTGAACATACGACGTGAAGCTGTGACAGCAAATTATTGAAGTCATAAAATCTCTAGCATGAGTTGATTTTAGGGCTCATAATGACGTTCAACATATTGGAACTTTTACCAAATGTAATATATGTAAAAAGTGTAAAATCTTCTGCACAAATATGCAAGTTTTATAAATTAAGTTTAAAACTTCACGAAGCAAGTAACTTCAAAAAATTGGATTTACAAATTTATGTGTGCACTTATTTTTTTGTACACTTAGCAGGATTGGATGCGTTCAATTAGCTGCATGTTTTATTCTCAAATGCACGTAGCGTACCGTTGTCCATTTCATGACATTATGGTGAATGCTATGTTAGATGTGAAGAGGGATGCGTGAGAAACAACTATCATAAAGGAGACGTGATTGTCTGAAGAGAGAGTGTTTGACCGTTCATCGAGTTTTTGATGTATAGTTCTTGTATTCTAATCTGTCTGTGCAATTTTGGTGGAAAACTGGTAGGAGGGGTCTCTCACCCAGACAGTAAGATTGCAGCTGATTGATGTCAAAATGGTGACGAGAACAACTTAGAAGTGTTACACACGTAATATCCTTAATTCGACGCATATGCCCTATGTTTTTTGCTTCGTTTATTTCTGTGGATCATTGTACGGAATTATTAAAATGTCATATTTTTTAATCATGGAATTGTCTTGGTGAAAAACTACTAGTATTTAGATGAGATCAAAGGAAATGTTATGGTACGTGCTAATTTAAGATGATGCTAATGTGAAATAGCATAAATAAGAGCCTGTAATTCTTATTGTACCTTAATTCTCACTGATTTTTTTGTTTTTTGAACTTCTTAAATTTTCTAAAAAATTTTTCTTTTTCCAGGAACTAGTCCAATATCTCACTTAAGATTTTGAGAATTGATAAATTTCTTGTTGAATAAAGATATTACACGACAATGGCAAGTTTTATTTATAATCCTTTAATGTTTGCCATTACCGTTTCTAAATGATTATAATTCATTCAATAATTTCATCTTATCTTGTATTTTTGTTATTTTATCTAGCGAATAACATTGTTTGACAGTAATAGGAAATAAAATAAAGTTTTACAGCACAAACTTATCAGAAATTTTTCAAGTATCATTCTTGTTTTTTAATTTATCGAGTATTTATAGATTAATTAAACCCACTCATATCCATCTTTATTATCTGTTGATTCTTTGCAAACTGTCACATTTTCGAGTCGAAATTTGGAGATTCCATGTGATAGCCTATGATTACAAATTTATTTAGAAATATAGAAATTATATTTCATAAATTGTGCTATCATATATTGGTGGATTCATATTTAGGCTTCCAAAAAGAAGGGTTTAACAGCTGAAGAAAAGCGATCTCGAATGTTAGAATTATTTTACGAAAGTAATGAATTTTTTCAGGTAATTTTTTTTTGGGGAAAAGACACGCGGTCTCTACTTTTTAGTAGCAAGTAGAAAAAGTTATTTCCATGAAATTTTTTGATCCGAAAAAGGAAAGACTATAGATTTGAAGCACTTGTTTTTATATTGTAGTACGGAAGTCAAACTTTGGGAGAAAAAGAAATTTAGAAAAATGCGTGCTATCTCGAAAAGTGCTTCAAACTTTGTTGATCACAAATTCAATTATACAACAGGGCATTTTCGAGCAAAACTGTTACAAAATGCCTGAAATCTAAAATTAATCATTTTGAAAGGTTCAGATGAAGGATCTTGAAAAAATTGCTCCGAAACAAAAAGGAATCGTCCCGCAATCAGTGAAAGAAATAACGCAATTACTCGTTGATGAAGGTTTGGTCGAGTGTGAAAAAATTGGTACTTTCGTTTGCTATTGGGCATTTCCGTCGCAAGCAACGATTATAGTAAGACTCTTTTCTTTTCCTTCTCTTCTTTATTCTCCAAATGTGGCAGAAACATTGTTTTCTTGTTCTCTTCATCAGATTGATGACTTAATTTCGAACTGAACCCATCGAAAAGCTTTATTATAATGAGTATTTCAAAGATCTTAGTAGTAGTATCTTAGATATTATAGCAGATATTAATAAGTAATTTGCATATTTCAAGGACTTCAAGCAGTATTTTGGGTATTGCTAGTAGATGCTGATACAAATTTCAACCCAAAATGAAATAAAAGAAATGGCAGAGATGAGAAATTAGTAGTGAAAAAAAGACATATGTTAAAATATATTTAATGACTTATTTGTATATGACAGACCATATCTTCACAGAGATATACATTTGTCAAATTTTCATCTGGTTAATTTTGGGATATTTTTGATATTCTCGTCGACAAATGAAATATCTGCTGTATTATTGATGTCATGGACATTCGTTTTTTTCCTAATTTTTGCTTTCAGCGCAAGAAACAGTTACAAGAATTAGATGAAAGGATTTTGAATCTGGAAGCAAAATTAGAAGAAGTAAAAGCTGATATTGTTGCGGCAAAGAAAGGAAAGGAAGTTAGTTTTTTGCTCTCAACTCAATAAGTTACAGGATTTTAATAGAATAATTTGTAAGTTAGCGAAATAAATCTGTTCTTATAAATGGATAAATAACCTACTCCTGGACATAATAAATTCAGCACCAAAAAGTACTACTGACTGAACTGTAATGATGATTCGAAAGTTATGAGTTAGCACGAGTTTGTTATGTAGTAAGAAAAAGGTTTCTATAAATAATTTCTCTATTCCACTCCCTCAAATTTTTTTGCAGGAAACTGAAGAACGCAAAAAGTTACAATTACAAATTAATGAACTACAAACGAAGCATGAATTACTGACTAAAAAATTGGAAAAAATAAGTGAAGAAGGTCCTGAAGCTATTGCTCGTCTTGAAAGTGAGACCGCGAAGGCTCGTGATGATGCAAATCGTTGGACCGGTAAAATTTTCCTTCTTTCTTTTCCAGATGATGGCTTCTCGGATTTCCCAACTTAAGGAATAGAAAAAAAAAGTTTTCATCGTTTCCGTCTATTGCAAAGCACGTAAAAGTTGAAATGAAGTTTGCGATGTTTCGGGTAAATAATTTTACTGAAAGCGGCTAAATTTTGGATTACATGAATGATAAGTTTTTTCTTTGCGGAATCATTTAAAAAAGCAAAGTTCAATTTCTCGCTAATGTTTCAGACAATATATTTGCGGCGAAGAAATGGTGCAAAAGGAATTTTAACATAGATGAAAAAACATTGAATGCGCAATTTGAAATACCGCCAGAGCTTGATTATGTGGAATGAAATATTAAACATTTGCATGGTTTGTGTACTGTTTACGGATATTTGTCTCATTAGTTTAAATATTATGTTTTTCAGATTAAAATTTAGAATTCGTGCTTATTTAGTTCTCTTTTCTCTTTTTCTGTCCTGTTCTCTTTAGATAAATTTTATTATGTAGACTACATTTGATTTTAGTCTTCATAAAAGTAATTTAATATTTAGTATGATATTGATCGAAGTCTAATCTATCTTTTACAAATTTGCTTTTTCAAGTTACATTTAATTCTTATCCATTACATCTTAACCCACATATTCGATCGGAGTATTTGCCATGCAAAAGAGCAATAGTAACGGTGGCAGGCTTTCCTTATCAAGTTATAAAAGTACATTCCAAAGCTTACATTTTTTTTATCCGCATTTCATGGTTTTTGTGTTATATCAAATTTGATGGGTAAAAATTAAAGAATCAGAGAATATAGAGATAAAAAATAATGTTTGTTGCAGACCAATGAAAAATAATAGCTGCAAATGGAACAAACCTGAGTTACCGAGCCACAGATATTTTATGATAAAGAACACTGTTACAACATTCCGTTGTAATTTTAGGCTGCTGGTTTTGCTGGTGTAGGAACAGATAACTTGACAACTTATCATTGTCTATTACAACATTTCCAACTAAAAAATGTGATTGCTAAATTTTACTTCAACGCTTCCAAAATCTGTATTTTCAGATGAAGTGGATTGGCTTCCACTTTATATAATTAAATTTGAATTTAAACTATGTTTTAAAGAGAATTTGCTTGGAATGTATTTGGATTCAGTTGCGTATTTGTATCAATGCGCAATGTCCTTTTTTTGCTTCACAAGTTGCGTTAAGTGTGGAATTACTTATATTATATTTAGTAATGATATTTCCAACACTGTATTATTGATTTCTGTATATTCTAAGTCAACTGATCGGTCTCATTATTGATGATGGATATCGTTAAATAGCCTTTACATATTATCTACAGTCTGTTAAAACTATATGGAATATCATTTTTTGCTGGACAACATAATGGATATTTATCTTCATGTTTACTCTTTGATATTTTATGTGCTTGAGATGAAATTTTCTGTTTTTGAATGATTTTTTTTTTTTTGATAAAAGTTTTGCCATATTAATCTGTTTGTTTTCCGATAGTCTGATAGTCTAGCGATATTTACTCTAGTAAATTTACATCTGATAAAATTATTTGGGAGGAAGAAAATGTTAGGGACGCAATACATATCATATTTTAATTATTGAAATGAAAATGTCTGGAACTTCAGAGCAGTGGAAATGAATAACGAAGAACAGCGTGCGACGGCAACAATCGAATCATTATCAACTGTCCATGATGCATTCGAACAGCCCCTTGGAACTCCACCATTGATTGGTTTGCAACAATCGACTGACCATGGACTTTGGGATAAGTTCGGTTTTACAAGGAATCAGAAACATCGTTTAAGAACTGTTGTTTCAGAAACATACAATCATTTCTGTTTTAGTATCACCTATAACACCAATACTGAGAATGCAATTATCGACATGAATGACGATATTCTGACGGTACGTATCGATTTATTACAAATTTTTATTACAAAATACAACTTTACTTTGGAATTATTAGATTTTTTTGTTCAGAAATGAGCTATGAAATTTTAATGAATGAAGAAATTCAATTGAGATGTAATAGAGAGATTCCAATAAATATCCTGAAACAATTCCAGAAGAACTATGTTTTCTAGGATTTTTTTCCCAAGATAGTGGGAAATGATAGCTCAGTAAATTTCTGATAATTATTCTGACTTTAAAGTTTCTTTTTTTAGTGGGTAAGCATAAAAACTATCACTAGAGTGAGTCTACTAACAGATGATTATTAAAAATATTTTAGTTGAACATACCGCCAATGGATTTTGAGCGAACAACAAGTGAAAATTTCGCTGATATTGTATTATCACAACTTGATAACCGAGATGTACGTGTTCAATCGCTATATATTGTGATTCGCAATATTATGTTTATTTATAGTGAATGGTTGCCTTACAGTTCTCGATACATATTCACATATTTGTTGATTTATTTGGATAGTTAATTTAGGAAAATTTCTCTGGTGGTTGTGGTATTGACGCATTAAATGAAATAAATATTGGTCCACTGAAATCAGTATCAATTTCTGCTGCTAGGTTTTGTTCTTTTTTTCCTTTCACTTGTCACAAAATATTTTGCACAAGCTGTAAGCTTTTTACAACTCACAACAAAATGAAATCAATCGTTATTCAGACCGGAAGCTGATCCACATCAACTAGAATTTGATGTGACGGTGGAAGGACGACGTCAAAGTGCTTACATCGTATGTATTTAAAAATCTTTTTCTACTTATTGAAATTGTTTATTTAAAACATTTCCGTAGTTTTGAAACTATTGTTGTTTGTTTATTCATTGTCACCTATCTCCTTGACAGTTCTGCAAAAGCAAGCTGGGTGTGTACTAGGTTACAGAGAAAGGTTTATTCCACCAAAATCATATTGTTCAGTTCAATCTTTATTTGATTATGCTATTAATAATGACTTACTTTTAATAGCTTCAAAATTTGAAAAATGATGGAAATAGTCTTTTTATCAATAGAAAACTACATTTTCAATTTACTTGAAAATATAAAAGAAAAAATTAGTTCGAATTTCAAATTGAAAGTAATCTTTTTCTCTATCTCTCTGACATGCTTACTTTTAGTTCAAAGGTCGCTCACTTTTTGCGAAGATGAATACCAATGTCATATTTGCAGTGAAATGTCCTATTCCTCCTCCCCCAAAATCGTTTATCCGAATTTGTGCCATTTATTCAGATAACATTTATGCTCATGTTCCAGTTCGTCGATGCGATTATCATCGTTCACGGGATAGTAAGTGATTTTCTTTAGAAACTTTCAACTGAATTGGAAAAGCACGAATTTAACTTTCTATCTGAGGTAACTTTACAAGCTAACAAATGGTCCTAGTGGTTCCATAGCTTTTACCAATTCAAGTTTTCGAATTAGAACTAATGTAACATTATTACAACTGCAGTTCTAATTACACACATGTATTATCACTTCCGAAAACTTTCATGAAGCTTTTACAGGAAATCAAGAAGAGCATTTCTTAATTGTGACCAATAATCCCAAAGCACAACATCTAACGGAAAAAATAGAAGACGAAGAAAGTTCCCGTTCATTTGCAATTGTGCCTTTCGACTCACTTTATGCAAATAAATGCTTGATGCTGCAATTCCGGTGCTATTCATCTTGTGCTGGTGGTATCAATCGGCGGCAGGTGGTATTGTGTTTTTCTTTGGAAAATGGGTAAATTTTTATTAATTCAAATTCCTCAGAAGCTGTTTTCCTATGAACCACAATATCAAATAATGGTCAAATTCTAGTGATCGTTTACTTGGAGAAAGTAAGATGCATCTAAAAGTGTGTTCACTTCCAAGTCGAGATGCAAATTTGGATGTTGCTAATTTGCCACGTAGGTTTCCTTTTCAGCATTTTAAAAAATTTTCTGTTTTAATTTAGAGGAAGTAAAGGTAGGGAACAAAAATATTCTCGTTCTTGCATGCTTCAGATCTTAACTGTAATGCTATATTCTTGCATGCTTTAGCTCTTAACTGTAATGCTGGAAGCAAAATATTGATTTCGACCGTTGACAATCGTAATTAAGAGTTGGAATAAATTTTTTTTGATGTGTGTTATTATTTGATTAGCTTAGCAGGTACTCAGAATGTAAATGATAGTATATTAACAGTAGTGTATATCTATTGGTAAGAATACATTTTAGAAAAAAAAAATCAACTTAAACAATAATATTCATATAGTGCTATGGTCAAAGAAAACCACAGTTGTGCTATTTCAGTGACATAAATCAAAAACTTGGTGGCTAAGAATCTATTGTTTTATCATGAATGTAAGCTTTTTTAGTGTGCGTACCAAGTTGCTTGTTCTTGCTTACGATAATTAGCGTGTCGTCTCATATCCAACAAACTTTTTTAACTCTGTTAAGCTAGAGCTTGAAATTCTAAAAAAGAAAAACTGAAAGAAAAGAAGACAATTTTTGCCTGCGATTATCTATGCAATCATTGGAAATGTTACTGATTTCTATAAGTTTATGTTTTTTTTTTTTTTATCGATAATGTGTGATCTTTCCTTCTCTAAATGTTATATTTAACGTCTCAAATTTATATCTTATGTAAGGAGATGTAAATTTGGGGTGTTAAATTCATGCAGAAACTTATTATACACAGGAAACAAGACATTAAGACATTAAGAGCCAAAAATGAGCTCAATAAGAGATAAGCGAAGTAAAGTAATTTAAATATAAGATAGTAATATGTTTTAAGTATAAAGTAGTAAAAAAAGCTGTCCACGTATTTCGATAGCCAATTTGATTTTTCAATCATCTGGAAATACGGTGGTTGTATGCGATAGGTTAGATCTATTTGAATTGTCTAGTAGCCTTGTGTTGGTTAAGGATTTCTTTGTTGTTTTTAGGTAACAAACGCCCACCTGCCAAACATTATCCGGCAGTTGCGGAAGTTGTTTCCGTTTCAACAAAAAATACACCGCAACATGCTTGGGACGATGATGATACAATTTACTCATTGGAGGTAAAATCTGTTATGACTGAACTTTCAATAAAGTAAAAAATGAAAAAATTCATTTCTAGATTCGTGGAAGACATCTGTATAAAATAGTTTGTGCTATTGTCGGTAATTTCGAATTAACCAGAAGTTTGCTGAAGAATAAGGGCCAAAGAAATGATAAAGACATGTTGACAGTAAACGACAGCTCAGGCTCACTATCACAGAATACTCCCATTGATTCGTAAGTTGCGATTTCCGCTTTTTTCCTTTTATTTTTTTCTACATTCCGCAACATTTTCCTGAATTTGCGGATTTTCAGATCATAAAAAAGTAAATCATTTAACTTTACGAAAAGCTTATTCTATGTTATTCCAGATGGTTGAATACGTTGGAATTGTCGAAATATAAGCATTTATTTGCGGACCGGTCGTTTTATGTAATTGCTGATCTGGATGGTATCATCAGTAAAATGGTTCTTTCTTTTATAAACTACTTTTTACTTTTTCTTTGCCTTGAACTTACTTTGTAATCTAGGAAATAACGAATTCAGCTGTAATTTTATGAATTATGGAAAGAAGATTGAGAATGTAAATTGTTCTGCATTCATGAGGAAAATTAAATCTCAAATTTTAGTATCTACTGTCGATAGGTGTTACGGAAGACGATGCGACAAAGATGTTAAATTCATATTTGGCTTGGTTCAGTATTTTCAATTCTCAGCGACTGAGCAGCTTGTCATCTGAAGGTTCTACAATTCGAGTGCAAAGGACTCGCGTAAGTGGTTCCCTTCAGATGCCACATTCAAAATAGTCAAAATTAATTTTCTGTTCTTAGTTTTTTTATGGTCCAGGCTAGAATGTGCCTGAAAAATTATCTTTCATCCAGAAATTTTTCCGCTGAAATGATATATTTCCTTAAAAGTGTCTTATTAACGGTTTGTAAAATTCCACAGTGTTGATTCAGTTAAATTATTGTGAAAGGGAGAGGTGGTAAGGATTACTTGGTATATAAATATACTGAACGTGGCGCCCTTTTCTTTCATTCTTAGTTTTTTATTCTTTTTCATTCCTTTTATTCATTCTTTCGTTTTCATTCTTAATATCATTTTTTGCGTCTTTCTCGTAATTTTAATTTTTGTAACTTGAGCTTTTCTCATTTAATTGATATTCGTATCTTTTTCTCTTGTTTATCAGTTTCGTGATCGCTTAATAGGCTGATTTTTTTGTTTAATGAGTTGATATTTTTTCAATGCACATCCGGTGCTGTTAATTTTATCTTCATGGAAACATAAAGAACTACTACGGAATTAGCCGATAATTGAGTCAATAATCTTCTATGAAGATTTTCCACTCCAAAAAAGTGCGACAGTTAATGCTGAAAAATGAAAAATGGAAGTATCAAATATAATGAGCCACCGGAAGTACAAGAATGTTGAAAATAAAAGTGGGGAGATGTTACAGAGGAAACTCCTCGATCTGAAATATATATAATAGGATAATCAATATATATATATATATAAAGAGTATAATCGTCAAAAAATTTCTGGGTTAAATAAATAGATTGAATCGATTAATTAATTTCATTATAAACATAGCAAGAAAAAAGTAAATCTGTTATTCAACAATTTAAATTTGCTTGAGCTTAATTAGTATTCAACGACAAGCAGTGTATGATTGATATGGAAGGATATACAAGAAACCCATTCGTTGTTAAATTTGCACAGGAAGGATAGGAGTAACTGTGATACCGTCACATCTTTCCAATATTTTGAATCTTCGATGATTCAATAAGATTATCCCATTGGAATCGTACGTGCAATCTTACTGGAATGGTTTCATTTGCGTGCATACAAAAAAATATAGTTACTGTAAGAGAAGAGGAAAGAGAATATTGAATGGAATTGGGTGAGAAAAAGAAAAGGTCAAATTATGGGAGAGAATGGCGCTCACCGTATTTGGATACAGTTTCAAGAGATATAAATGCAGTCATAGTACTAGCAGTTCCGAAAGAGCAAAGAATAGCTAACCGTATTAATTGAAGAGAAGGTTGGAAATTTATTAAAGGAGAGAAAAAAACATATGAAAAATAAGAAATGGAATAATTATTTGAAATTTAAACGGTTGTATACATGTCGGTGAGAGGTATTGCAATTGTTGCGATGTGGAATGAAAGTTTCAAAAGATCGAGAAAGCTAACCTGGAAACAAATTTGAGACAAAAAATATGCATGAAATTGGTAATTCAAAAAAATCCTTCAAGAAATTTAATGAAAAGAAAAACGCGCACTTCCATAAATTTATCTCCCAAAAGAATAGAAAATTTGATCGTTCAGAAAAAAATTAATTTGGTTTTTTTCAGTGTTCTTTCAATGTTTTTGATCGTTCAAAAGAAAAAATTACTTTGAATTCGAGCAGTGAATGAAAAAGAATTATAAACGTTTGCTTGGAAAGCAGTTAAAAAGTAAAAGAACATGATAAAAGGCAGCATTTCAAAAAATTTGGCTATTTTTTATTTTTAAAATTTTCATCAAGATTCTTTTAATCTTAACCATATTTTGAAAGCTAATAATAAATGTCGGTTTTAGTCTACAAGCTATGTCACTGCTTAGCAAAATTCAACTAATTAAGTCCTTATTTGTTTTATCCGTCCCTAAAACAAAGTAATAAATTTGATCAGCAAAAAAACCCGCTTTTCTTTGATTATCTTCCATTCCAATAATCATTAACAGCGTGATATACACAATTATTAATTTTTGTTTCCATGGAAAATATTCGAATCTGTTCGTTCATTCCGAACTTCTGTTTTTGCAAGTAAATTAAAATAAGTTTTGAAAAGATTTCTAACAACGATGTATATGACAAACATTCAGTCGCATCTGACAATTAAAGAAATTCGTAAAACTGTCCTTCGTCCATTCTCGATGACATTTCAGAATCTTGACGTCCTCTTTTTTATGGAAACCTTTTTCTATTTCAATCAGTAACTCATTGTCATTGCTAGTCGATCTTCGAGAAATGCGTTTCGAAAGCACTCAGCAACAAATAATTATCAAATATTTATCGATGCTCATTTAATCAATTTATTCAAATTTATGGAATGACCCATTATCCCAATAAAATGGTGCTAAAGCGGGAGAGATTGTTTGACAGAGATCGATTGATCCACCCGAATTACTTTTTAGATGAAAGTAAGTTGCATAGATGTAACGAACAATGGCGACTTTAATGCTTGTTACCTTCGTGCTTCCAGCGGTTCAGCCCTGAAGTTTTTTCCTTTAATTTGTGGAAATAAATTCGAGAAATATTATCTGAACACTGACAATTTCTTGACTAAAGGACCAAAGTGGCACGAAGAGGGAGAAAGACTTAGAAAACAGAATCAAATGCAACTCGAAGTGATCGAGTTCTCGTAATTCTTCTATCTCCTTCGTATATCTGTTTCATTTGGAAGATTATTTTTGCATCCTTTCGATGGTATCGTTAACGCAATGTGATATTTAAATATGTCAAGTCGAGTAATGAACAATGTCTACAGAGTCATAGTTGTCTGTTAGCTCGATCTCGACCTTTCATTTCCAACAACCATCCGAACATTATTTTTGAATAGAATTAATTATTGTCTCAATGAGTGATCGAAACACAATTCCAGTAAGTTTAT